AAAAATAAAATAATACTTTATTCGAGTGTGCTTGCTTTTCTCTTTGAAAGTCATCACATAACGGCATTGTAATACACGGTTCGGCTGCATTAAATATTACATATCTGCCGTAGTTCTCTATTTATAGAGCCCTGATGAGAAGATGGGAGACACATCTATGGATTCAGAATTTCAATAGCTTACTGTTAAATGACGGATATACCTTTCTGTTTGTGATGTTTTACAAATCAGATATGAGAAGTAAAACATGTGAAATAATACAGCAATATCATGTACAATTATGTGAAAACATGAATAAAATTACAAATCTTCAAATGTTATACATACATAAGTGTCCTACACTAATAATACAAAGTTATTATTAGTAGGCTATGCTGTGTGTACCTTGTGTGCACCGCCTAGTGGTTAAAGCACGTTATTGAATTAGTTGTGTATATGATATGTCAATAAATCTTAGAAAATCTTGACATCTTGAAGGGGATGTGCAAAATAGCCATTATTTACAGTCTTTAATTAACTATTAGTAGAGAATAACGAGTAATGAATATAATTTATAGGGATCTGCAGATAAATGTTTAGTCTTCTCAAGCACCAACTATCAAATATCTCACCTGATAGTTGGCATTTGACAATCACCTTTCCCTGAATTGTACTCAGGTTTAACTAAAGCCTGATTTAAGGGTTGTTCATATTTCACATCATTAATCAGAATCTGCAAAGTAACTCAAATAAATGTAGTGGAGTAAAAATACCAGGTTAACCTCTGAATTGTAGTGGAGTACAATTGCTGTTTTGTTTAGTAATGGAAATTGAATATGGAATAAAGGGTTTGACAAGACCTGGTGTAACAATAATCAAAAAGGACATTAAAAGAGCTCCAGATGTTAATTATCTAAACAAAACAGCACACCTGAAATGTATATTTAAATACTTTATTAACCTGTTAAGCCCAGAGCCTGTTTTTCAGGTCTCAGGCTCGAAAATGACATTCCCAGAACAAATGACCATCTTCCCTTCTAAAAGGGTTCAATTAATAATCTTTTTTCTCAAAGCATGGTTACATCTGTGAGTTGGATGTAGAAGTGTTAGAATCAATATAGATGTTTTTATCTTAAGGTAAATTCAGATTGAACACAGTAAAAAAAAAAAAATTATTGTGTCCGTCCAAAGAAATATTGTACTTATAGTGAAAACCACCCTTGAATGATGGGATGGTAGACTAAAAGCTTTAGGAATCCAAACTACAACATATAATACCCTGTATCAAGATTGATGCAAAACAAAACAAAAACCACTTCTGGGGTCATTTGGGTGGATTTTCCATATCTCCGGCCCCCCTTGTTCAATTTTGATTATTGACATCTCTTTTTAACCGTTAGAGCCAATAGAATTGAGGGGAAGTTCCTAAATCCACCTACACGTTACCAAATAAGGAGTGAGAGTGATGCGTAGCCAGAATACCCAAAACAGGAAGCTGTCATACTGTCATGGCTACCATTAGCAGCTAATATGAAAACTCAGTTTTTGAAATAAAAATGGAAGGATGGATTATCAGTAATCATTTCAAAGTGACACAGACACATTGGATTAACCTATGGATTAACCTTCAGCCGCGTTTTTCTCGTTTTGATGCAATTGAATACGACTTTTGATCTGAACAACAGCTAAGGTAAGAATATCTCCGTGTTTGCTACCTACTGTAAAGCTATGTTGTGTGTTGTCTGGGTTTGCTTCCCATGTCGCGAGTTGTAATCGCACTGTGATGATACTTGTATTTCTGGAATCTGTGAAATCTCAGCTTGCTAGCTGATATCTTGTTTGTGCAGATCCGATAAGTACTAAAGTATTTATACCTAGAGTTCTGTGCTAAGTGCGTTAGCATTTTATCGCTCAGGGCTCATTTAGACGCGTCTTTTGAGACTTGTGCTTTGTTTCGGTAAAAATGGTTTGTATCCTCAGTTAGCTGAGTTTCTTCCCGTTAAGTGAGTATGACACATTCATAGGTTTTTAAATGTTAAGAAGCCCTGAGACACAGTTTCGTGAAGGAAAAAAAAAACACAGCGGGGCTCTCAGGTTTAACAGGTTAAGTAACATTTTGAAATCAGGACTTTTACTTGTAATGGAGTATTTAAAGATCATAGTATTTTTTACTTTTATTTAAGTAAGGATCTAAGTACTTCTTCCTATATGTGTGTCAAGTGTGTATCAGCCTTTTATCATATACAAACCAAAAATACTTTTTCACAAAAAATGTTAGCATTTCAAACCAAAAACCATCAGAGCATATTTTCCTTTTGTATAGATTTCTAAGGAAAGGAGGTTTGGTTTTGATCTGCCCGCAGCTGGTATTTGACGGACATGTCTCTGCACGCAGGCGGCCTTACTGGGAGAGGACAGAGCTTTCTGAAACACGCAGGAGGCTTTGAATGACCACAGATTTATACATAATCCTGTTTTAAAAGACATTTCATAAATTCATCATTTCAAATCACCATTATGAAAGAAAAATCTATTTCGTTTGAGAAATGCACAATTGTTTTATCCAATTACCAATAGTCCTTCCACACCTACATTTCTTTAGAAGAAGAAGTAGATATTGGCCTGGATTAACGATAATTGGTGTATGCTCACTATGCTATTCTGCGAAAATAAAGACAGTTATTTTTGTATCTCATGGACTTTAGAGTCTGATGATAGTATAGTAAAAACATGATGTGTGCAGAACATTACCTGGCAGTTGGAGAAGGGAATTGTACACTTTGCACTGAACCTGCCCGGTGCTCTGTGACACACAGCTCTTCCACAGCCCTTCGTACATGGCCTGAGCTGTGATGATGTTGTCTCCTGCATATGATGAAGCTTTCCACTCCACCATGATTGTGGAAGCTATCGAGCCGATGAAGCCCAGGAAGGCCAGCGTGAAGCCCAGAAGCTGTATCCCTGCATTGGCCATCGCTTGACGTCAGAAAATGTGAAGAAGTGGAATAAGTTCAAAGAGATTGAAAAGATCCCAATGCTTTCTTGATGTAGTTCCTGTCCTGGGTGTATGGGCGGGTGGAAGTGATCTCAAACAGTGGTGTCTACTTTTGCATCCTCGGGGAACACTACTGAGGAATGGGAGGATCTAGGAATGCATCACCTGAGGTCAGGAGGAGCGGGTGGACACCTGGTGGAGGTGAGGCTCTCTGCAACACTCAAACTGCTCCCAAACCTTACATCTCCAGGGAAAATGCACAGCAATTAAAAACCGTGTCACTACTTTTTATTCGAATTAACTCCTTGGGACGTACCATCTTGTTTTCAAGGGCGTCCTCAATGACAATAACTAAATACAATATTAAAACAATTGGTAAAAAACTAAAATACCAGCCCACTGTACCACTGTTCTGAAATAACAATTCATATGTGCAATATACACTTTATTTGTACAAGTATTTACAATTTATTTGAAGTTAGCTTATGTTACTACTTTTTTACAATGTATGTATACTACTTTTTTTATTATCATTAATGTGTGCTTGCCTCTATTTAATATTGTCTACTCTTTTTTCTTTTTCTTTTCATCTGTTGTCACGCTGTAAATCTCCACACCGGCAAACAACTAAAAGATTACTGAATTTGATATATTCAACAGAAAACAAAAATAACAACAAAATAATAAGTGCAAATTAAATAAATAATTACATAAATAAATATCCAATAATTAGACTTCAAATAATGAGAATCATATTCCAATCTGAAAAAGATTTTCGAAACTTTCGGTGAATTTAGTAATAAAGTAAAAATACTTTACTATAAATGTGTAATGATGGATGTGAACATAACATAACAAGGCATTTTCAAACTATGGAAGGATGATGAGGTAGCCTCTATTATTAAATACTATTAATAACAAGAAATAGACATTTATGCCAGTTTCAAGCGGCACATAATAATGTTTGTTGTCCACATCTGACGTCAAATGTGCCGGACTTCTTATTGCGGATAGATATGGCTGCACATAGCCCCTTCGTCCTCCTGACACACGGTATGTTCTCATTAGCAGCGGTCTGTTAGCCAACATTAACAATCTCTGGAATGTTCAAATTGACCAATCAGAATCGGGGGACTAGGCCGTGCAATAACATGTTTTATTTATCATTTAAAATGGTCAAGCTGTTGTAATTGTTTCTATATTTTCAATATAAAAAGACTAGTTGACAAAAACTGGAAAGAGTGATGACAGATCATTTCCTGTGGGATATATTTGTTTTGCTTTGGTAAATACTGACTAATCTCTGCCAGACCTCTGCTGAAACTGACATAAAAAAGAAAAAAATCCTCTATTCAAAGCAACAAATTCAAGTTATTTCAATAGTTCCTCAGCTCTGTCAGCTGATTTGCATTACAACACATTTTGAATTTGAGGATTATCCACTTTTTTTTTTTTTGCTGTTCGCTAATGGGAGCATGTCAGAGCTGGCTGATGACCAAAGGTTTTCCTCTTGCCTAATTCACCCTGCTGCTTTGTGCACTTTGTGACAGCTGGCTTGTAGATCGGCAGGGGAATTTACGGGATCCCTGTAACACAGAGGTATGTTTGATTTCATTTATTTAAACTCTCAGTGAAGAAAGTGCATATGTATTCTGTCCTTATATCAAAGCATTGACTCCCTGTTAATTCATAGAAAGTTTCTCCATGTTTCCACAGTGAAAAATGGACAAAGTGTTGGGACTGCTTCTGTTCCTGGTGCTGCTTCTCTGCCACAAAAGCAACACACAGTTACAAACCTCGTGTCCGTATAACTGCCAGTGTTTCACTTCAGTCCAAATCCTGTGTGCTGAAGAACGGATGTCGTCTTTACCGAAGAACATGTCCAGGCAAGTCAAGGAGTTTATCGTGATCAGATCAACAGTATCGTACCTGTTTGCCCAAACTTTAAAGGAGAGCCCCCAACTCACCAAACTCGTCTTCCTCAGTAATGCCCTGCGCAGTATTCACTCTCAGGCTTTCGAGCATCTGAGTGAGCTGCAGGAGCTGGAGATCAGCGGGAACCCCTGGCTAGAGTATTTATATCTGGGAACTTTTTCCGAGCAGGGAAACCTGACTAAACTGATGCTCAACTTCAACATGTTCAAGACCGTGCTCCCTGGCATGTTCGACTCTCTGAAAAAGCTAGAAACTCTGCAGATGAAGGGCAACGTCATATCAAATCTGCCTGCATTCCTTCTGCTTCACCTCCACAATCTACGGGTCTTGGATCTGTCCCAGAATAAGATTCAAGACGTGAAAAGGGAAACTTTTTCTGGCCCGGCCAAACTGGAGATCCTGAAACTGAACAACAACCTCATAAGCAATCTCACATCTGACTTGTTCCACAATTTTTCAAAGCTGGAAGAGCTTCACTTGGAAGGAAACAACATATCAGAACTCGCTGATGATAGCTTCTCCGTATTAACCAAGCTGAAGGTCCTGAACCTCAGAGGGAACCTTCTCACGAGCTTCAGTGGTAAATTGTTTGGATTCAACGCCCCAAATTTGAAGGAACTGAACCTTAAAGGCAACATGTTGACCACGTTGTCCTCTCTGAGCAGTTTGACGTCTCTTACTGACTTTATCTTGTCCTCAAACCAGCTCTCCGACCTTCCTGAGGACACTTTTAGAAATGTTACAGCCCTGGAGAATCTAGACCTGTCTGAAAACCAGCTCACCCTGCTACCAGAAATGGTCTTTAATGAACTTTTCAGCATCAAGGCGATCCACCTCAATAAGAACAACCTGAGCAGGGTGGACGCCAATCTGTTTGAGGACCAGTTGCTGATTCAGCAGCTCTACCTGTCCGACAACCAGCTGGAATCTCTTCCACTGGGCCTGTTGGACCCTTTTGTCATACAGCACACGGTGAGACTGCACGGGAACCCTTGGAAATGCGACTGTCACATGTGGTATCTGCACGACTGGGTGCTGAGAAATGGCCGAGATGTGGAGATGCTCGACAGGATGCTCTGCTCTAGCCCTGGCTTCCTGAGAAGACGGGCAGTCGTGTCCATAGACAAGGACCAGTTGGTTTGTGAGGTGTCTAGAGATGCTACAACTGATCTCAGTAGATGTAGAGTACAAGCTTCCGGGGACACTGTGATTGTCAATTGCAAAGTGGACAAGTGCTCTCCACTTACAGTGAGGCTGCAGTTTCAGGAGGAGGACGGAAGCATAACGGAGCATTATTTGAAAAATGAGTCTAAGTGTAGCAATGACACAGTGATTGATATTCCTGGTCTGTAGTTTTTCCTTGTTGCTAGACTTTGTTCTCCGTGCAAATACGTCGTCATGCATCTGAGTCATATTATATGTTCTGACTGTCAGAGTCAATACTGTAAACAAACCTGTAACGCAACAGCTGATAACCAGCAACCATGCATGCTGCTGGACGATAAAAGAGGTGGATGAACTCTTTTCTTTGAAAGTTTAAAGTTCAACCAATTGCATTTTAAGATTACTACTGAAAGGAACTGTGTGTATAACATGTTGAATCTCCTGTAGTGATGCTTCTGACCCCGTTGTTTATGATCTTCTAATGTCAAACTGACATTAACGCAAGGCAACGCACTACAACGGCCCAAACACTTACAAAAGGAGAAACGGGCTGCATTTATCTGCATCTCGATTATTTGGGTCAATAATTGATATCACGATTATTAAAAACGACTATCCATTTACTTTGAAAACATCCATTTATTGAAAAAAAAATGTTGAACAGTATGTTTTTAACAGTTGTTTAGCCTGAACTTTAAGTATAATTCAACTGAAAAAACAATAGAAAAGGAAAAAAAAGAAAGAAATTAAATTAAACTTAAAAAATAATCGTTTTATTTCGATTATGTTGTTTTCATAATTGTTGCAATCCAAAATCGTAATTGCGATTAAAATACGATTGAGCGGCCCTATCAGAACGTCAACAAGTTGTCCCAGCTGTGTGCATCACTTTTTTGTTTCCCCGTTTCCGTTATGTTTTGAGCTTCTTGCAACAACAACTATTTTTAGTTGCATTGTTTTTGGATTTGCAGCGAGCTTCTCCTAATGGTAGTGTTTTGGGTCGTTGTAACGTTATTGCCCGTGTCGGCCACCGTATTCCGCCGTGTCAAAGTGAATTATCATTGGAAAACATGTTGACAAATGTTTGTGTTATTACGGGATGAAATATGATGCATTTTGCAATTTTCAAGAAGTCTTGGAAGAACTGCTTTTGGAAAATGAAAATAAAAAATAATATTTCCTTCTGTAAATTATGACTTTATTTAAAAAATTTAAAAAACTTTGAAAAGGCAGAAAAACGTATTTTATTACGGGAGCGATGGAGGGAGTATCAACATCATTCACTTAAGCAAAGGTTTTTATACCTGAAATAGTGAAAAAGTGCAGCGATACTATCAGCACAATACATTTAAAAGTAGAACTAGAATAGCTCTTTCCCTTGTTATATTACTTTATACTTTTGGATTATTATTGATGCATTAATGAGTGGGCATTATTGTAATGCTGTAGGTGAAGCTTATTTGTGAACTGTTTTTTAATTGGGAAGTTTAAACAGTGGTGGAATGTAACTAAGTACATTCACACAAGTACCATACTTGACATCATTATACTTTACTTCAGTATTTCCATATTATCCTTTTTTTTATGGTTGATAAAAAGTAAAATAAATGGTACATATAAAATCACACACATGCTAATTTGATATAATGCAGGACATCCCTACTTATCAATAAAATTGTCTCCAAATGATAGACTTGAAGATTAAAAAGCTTGTACAAATGATAAAAACAGGCCTATATAGTATTCTTTATAAATACTTTGAATGAGCTACTCTGCATTCTTTTACTTTTGATACTTTTAGTACATATGGCTGATACATATACATATATATACATATGTATATGTATATATAATATGATAAGTGGTTTCAATTATAGTTGTCACAATGTCATGTAAAATGAACAATATCTCCCTTTGATTTATTAAGTATTACATTGAAATTAATCTAGACTTCCTCAATTTTAGTACAAATACCTCAAATTTGTACTGTGAAACTTTTTATTAAATATTTGTAGACTTATATATCTGTCTGTTTTACTCTTAGGATACTTAAGATAGTAGAAGTGACCCATCCTGTCATCCCGGGATTCTTGGACACCCCTGGATCACTCCGCTGCTCCTGAACACTGGGAGGATGATAAAGAGGGGGGGGCAGCCTCCACACAACAAGGCACACAGATGGCTACACCTTGAATACAGCACTCTTCCCGGGGTTAATAAGGATCAAAGGCCAGGGGGTCGATTGGGTCCTCGGTCCGAGTTGAATGACATCACAATTCACATGACAAAAACTGGTGGCCGTCTTACTTCCAACGTTTGGAGTGAAGGCATTTAGCTGGAGGTAATCCTCACTTGAGCAAAACTATGGTTTAAACAGGACATTTAACATTTAAAGTGCAGGGTTGTTGGCTAACGAGCAGCCAGGCATATGGAAGTTTTCTTTAGTGAAGGTAACAGGGTTCATATAGAATATTTAGACTCTAAGGAGGAAATCATAGTTTCACAGTCAAAAAGATAAATAGTTCCAGACAAAATATATTTTTTAATTATTTAGGAATATTTGTAAGGTAATCCGTCATACGAATAGGCATGCATTGTATTGCAACATCATTTTTAAATTGTACCTCTAAATCTCTTTTTTGAAAACCAGAACCACTCTGATAAATGCATATGAAACGTGACATTTTTTTTGCAATTCAATTGTTCTTAGAAATGTTTAAAATTCCAATTGCAGATCCACACATGTTCATTGTAAGTTTGAATTTAGCCTTAAGGAAAATGTACGTTTAAAAAGGAATCATGATGACAATAAAGATGATAATACATTACAAAAATAAATAGAGAAATATTTGTGTTACATGGGTATAATACTGGGGTCTGATAACAGTGTAATATCAGTGTAATAATTGTGTCACATGGGTATAATATGGGTGTAATAAGGGTGTGATTACAGTGTAATGACGGTATAATAGTAGCGCAATTACAGTGTAAAGGTGTTCCATGGGTGTAATATGGGTCTAATAACAGTGTAATATGAGGATCACATGGGTAAAATGAGCGTGTAATTAGGGTGCATAATGGTGTAATATGGGTGTAATAACGGTGTGGTGCTATTTAGAAAATAGCCCATTTAAAGGTTATTATAATAAATTATTGTTTAAAATCTTAGCCAACATTATTGGTGATATAGTTGGTGTCTTTGTGATATTTAGAGAAGAATTTCGACTAAAATTGAGTGGGTTTAAAGGACTGGTCACTGAACATATCCATAAGATTTACCCCCTGTTTGGTACAGCGTGGTTTCAGAGGTTAATTAAGTTACCTTCAATTCCAAAACATCCCAGCATCCATCACTTTCAATTAACCCCTTGCAAAGTTACAGCCGCTCTGCCCCCCCC